CCCCGCCCAATGTGTAGCAGCTCTTAGAACGCATGCAAAACATGAAAAACGCACCCTCGCGCTCACCCCTTTCGACCCCCGCACCCCCGCTTTTTTGTCCACCTTTCGCCCAAAGTCATTGACACACACTCCGAGTTACAACACCCTGGTATTCCCTCGGGGGCGAAGCTCCCGTTCCGAACAGGGTTTCTGAACGCCGGGATGGACGGCGATATACCGTTCGAGGGGCAACTTGGACCGCCCGGTGGGGGCGGCGGCGGCGGCAACTGTGGTGTCGCCGGCGGGGGCGCTACTCTCCTGTCGCCGGAATCGAAGGAAGATGATGCCGATGCCGCCGTCCCCGCCATGGACTTGGGGGACATGGAGCCGAACAAGAGGTCGTACCCCCCGGGAAACCCTCGCATCGACATTTTGGGCAGGTCGAGCGCGAGGCGGGATGTGTTCAAGTCGCCCGAGCGCGACCCGCCGCAGGACGGCGGCCAGCCCACGGGCGGCGGCGGCGTGGGCGGCGGTGACCACGTCAGCGTGGCGGCGGCGGCGGCGGGGGCGGCGGCGGGAGCCTTGGACGTGGTTGCGACTGCCAAGGGCACGGAGCCGATGCAGAAGTCTACGAGCCTGACGGCCAAGGTGTTCGCTACCGGCTCGGGCGTGAGGTCGTCCGTCGAATCGACGGCGAGGTCGTCTGCGGCCTCGGCGACCGAGACTTCCTTCTCGGGCGGCGGCGGCGGCGGCGGCGGTAACGAGAACGCCTCCCCGGACATCCTCAGCCCGACCTCCACGTCCGCAGACGCGCCCCACACGAGGAGCATGGGGCGGCGCCAGGGGGACTCCACCCGCATGATGCAGAAACTGTTCGGGAAGACGGACGAGGGGCCAGGCGCGTCCTCCTCGCAGCCGACATCGCCGTCCTCGAGGCCCGCGCCGAAGGAGTCGGGCGACAGCAGCAGGAGCCTCGTGTCGGGGCCCACCGTCGACAGCGCGGCGCCGCCGCCGCCGCCGCCGCTGCCGCCGCTGTCGAACTCGGCAAAAAGTTGTGCGAACAGCCGCGGCGCCGACGGCGGCAAGTCACGGGGTTCTCCTCTTGGGGGAAGCAAGCATAGAAACGCCGCGACGGTGATGCCGCGCCCGACTCAGGGCTGGGGCGCAGACCCGGACGGGAGCGGCGGCGGCGGCGACGATAACAGCAGCGGCGGCCGGAAGCAGTGGCCAGACGGGTATGCTGAGTCGAAGCAGCCGGTCACCGAGGGGGGCCAACAAGCAGAGAGTGTTCCGGACGAGATGAAGGTGGAGCAGCAGCGGTGTGAGGGGGGGACGAACAGCGGCGCGGGCGTTTTCAAGGACGGGTCGGCGACAGCTGCCCCAAAGTGCGGCTTGTGTTTAGTTAGCGTGCCCGCTGTGCTCAGTTTGGCAAAGCAGTCCGTCGGTTGTGTGCGTGCCTAGCAAGAAAATTTTCTGCGAACGGCGGTAGCTGATACCTCACGCTCGCCGCTGCTGCGTAAGAGACGTCGTTCGTGAAGTCGCCCCACAATTTTTGTAGTCTTCATCTTTGTTCACGTTCACGCACTCCCGTCATGGCTACATAGCTGGCACGGTCGATGCGAACATTCACCTCTGATACTATTATCGTGATTTTCAGAAAATATACGTCATAGCACGGAAAGACTGTACCCGTTCGAGATGTAACCACAGTCGAAGGGGCTGTGCTGAAGTATTCACAGTGAGTGGAAGCATAACTGGCTCGATGTATCATTATTTTTTATCATATATATCGCTACATTCATTGGGGCGATCGATGCGTGCGACGGTATTCTTTTTGTTTTTCTCCCATCATTGGACTTCCACCCCCCTTGGTGTTTGCCATCGGGATTGGGTTTTCGTC